CGGCTTGATATAAAACTTGTTAACTAGCAAAAAGTTAGAAAGTAGTACAAAATTTTTTGAAATCAAAAACAGATCTAGACTCGAACCGTAATTTAGTAAATCTGAAATAAAACCGATCTAAATAATGTTAAATCATAGAAGAACCAAACCCGTGAACGAACCGAACCAGTTATAACCGAACTAAAATAAAACTACACCAAAAAAGAACCGAACCGTTTCCAACCTGAAACTGTTTGAACCGGTATAATCACCATTTACACCGAACCATTAATAAACCGCAACCCGTTTGCACCAAACCGTTTACTACCGGGACTATTTACAACCCGTACCGTTTACAACCCGAACCGAATTTAAACCGAGTTAAAAACCGTTTACACCAAACCGTTAACAAACCGCAACCCGTCTGCATCGAACCGTTTACAACCCGGACTGTTTACATCCCGGACCATTTACAACCCGAACCAAATTTAAACCGGGTTAAAAACCGTTTACACCAAACCGTTAACAAACCGCAACCCGTCTGCACCGAACCGTTTACTACCCGGACCGTTTACAACCCGAACCGAATTTAAATCGGGTTAAAGACCGTTTACACCGAACCGTTAACAAACCGCAACCCGTTTGCACCGAACCGTTTACAAACCGAACCGTTTAGAACCCGAACCGAATTTAAACCGTTCAAGAATAAACCGAAACCGAACCGAACCGATAATTATTTAAACCGAACCGAAACCGACCCGTTAGACATTTAAACCGATTTCAAACCGACCCGATTTCAAACCGAACCGATTTCAAACCGAACCGAAACCGAACTGTCAAACCGTTTTGACAGTGCTAGCTATAGTGGTAGCATATCATGCAAGTCTCATCATGATTTGTCGATTTTGGTCACAAATTCATCATGCAACATATATTGTGGGATGTTAAAGTTACGTGTACTTCTACGTTTATAACTTGTCTAGTTGTCTTCGTGTCATTTGCCTTTATATTCTTTCGATAGATACATATCGTGTAATTCTAATTTATTGCTACCTCTTTTCTTTAAGCTAATTTTTTTACACTTAGTTTATTCACGTTTGTCATTGTATGACTTTCAACATATATCTCTAATTCTAGGTATGAACTCAACCGCTTAGGTATATTATCTTGGATTTTATTATTGTACAAAATTTTAAAGTTAATATTTCAAAAACTATATATATTGAAATAAATCTAACTCGGCCTCACATAAATTATTCTTACATATAAATAATAAAAAGATATTGGGTGCAGACTGTCACACGCAAATTATGCGTACGGCCCGCTGGCTGATATATTTTACTTGTTGGCTGATATGTTTCATGTGTTGGCTAATATATTTCATTGTATTGGCTGATGTATTTATTTTGTTAGATGATATGTTCCTTTTGTTGGCTGATATGTTTCTTTATTTGGCTTGTATCTTTATTTTGTTGGTTGATATGTATATTTTAATTGTTAGCTTATAAATTTCATTGTGTTTTTTTAATTGTTGGCTTATATGTTTCATTGTGTTGGCTGATGTGTTTATTTTGTTGGCTTACCTGTTGCTTTTGTTGGCTTACCTGTTGCTTTTGTTTGCTGATTTCATCCTTTTGTTGGTTGATATGCTTCATTTTTTTGTTGATATGTTCCTTCTGTTGGCTAATATGTATCTTTTGTTGGATGATGATATGTTCCTTTTGTTAGCTGATATGTTTCATTTGTTGACTGATATGTTCCTTGTGTTGATTGATACGTTTTTATTAATGTCTGATATGTCCCTAATGTTGACTAATATCAAACATCAATTGGCTGATATATGCATTTAATGGCTGATGATATGCATCATTTGTTAGCTAATATGATTGACAACATACAATATATTTTTATTTCCTTCTTTCTCCTCTTTCCCCCTCTTCTTCTCTTTCTTTCTCTCTGTTTCAAATGAGAATGGGGTTTATTGCGCATTAATAACAAACAAATAAAATGTCCCACACTCCACACCCACCAACTCACTCCCTCACTCAAACTCAATAACCCCAAATTGAAATGCTTTAGGCAACAACAGCAGAGCAACTGGACTGCTCTAGCGTAAGAAACATCATTTGTCGATTCACAATTGCTTCTTCGAAATTAGTCTTAAAAAGGTTTCACTTAATAAAAATAGTCTAATTAATTCAGATTGATGTGGAAGACAACTTCGCCCACTCTTCACCACCCCACCACCCACTTCGCCGCCCTCTCCTCCGCCGCATTTCCTTCTCCACCACCACAACCTGTGCCACCTTCACGACCCGTGCCACAATGTCCACCACCACCAACTCCTCCATCGAACACATCATCCTCTTTAACCAAAACAATAATATCGAAAATCAAAACAATACAAAATCTCACCGCTTCACATCGTCACCAATTCAATCAAAATCTCTCCCGCATATCCTAGTCTGAAATTGACACCGATTTCAGACCCATCAGAGATTACGAAGTTCGTCGGCAATGAACTTCTCAAAGCTTGAATCGTTGATTTATTCCGGCAATGACGAATCAGAGATTGATATTTTCACTAATAAATATACTCCTTCATTGTGGTCTACCATTGAAGTTGAAATGAGGAGAGAGAAACTGAGGTCTGATGAGGCTGTGATTATATTACAGTTGCAAGTGAAAGAAACCTAGTTGCCGCACAAATAATTGGGTGCAGACTGACGCACCTAATAGTTTGTGATAAATAATATTAAAAAAATTAATGTGTAAAGATCATAGAAAGGGATGTAATAATAAACAAAAGTTGTTTGGTATAGTTGGTGAAGCTACTCATTATGTATCTTTTACTGTGATATGTAGCCGTATCAATGTATAATTTTTCCTGACAATTACTATGATGTTTTTACTTAAGTAGATAGGTTTATACAATTCATTAAAATCTATAATCTTACAGTCATTCACATTTTCCAAAAAGTTTCTTTATACATATCTACATTTAGGGCATGTTTGGATTGGGGGTAATAAAAGTCAAAGTTGAAAAAATATAAGTAATTAGAAATGTTGTTGTAGGAAACAAGGTGTTTACAAATGAAATAAGATAGTTGTGTCATGAGGAAAAGAGAGAGATGGAGGAATTATTATCTTCATAATGAGAGTAATAGTTACCCACCCTCCTCCTATTTTAACTATTATCCCCAAAATGAGGGTATTAGTTCCTCTTTCTTCACCTCATACCATATTATCACTATATAATTTTCCTTATAATCACACCATCAATATCTCTTCCTTCCTTATATTCATTTTCATTTTGCTTAATAAGACTTTTATTACCCTAGTAATACATCTCCCTCAATCCAAGCATGCCCTAAGGTAATTTTAAAAGGAAAAACAAAGGTATTAGAAAAGTTACATTCATGATTTTCATCACCTTGCCTTAACAGATACAAAATTACAAAGTCGTTGTAGATCAGATTGTATGTACGTAGTATATCGTAACTTCATGTTGATTTAGTAAGACATAGTATATACTATCATAAACATTAAGTATCCAAGACCAAATGTGAAATGTCCAATAGGATGACAGATTTCATCAAGAAACTTTAATCCTACTAGTCGTACTCTCCTACAACTTGGTAATGCGTTGGAGATTTGGAGAAGACTCCCAGAATGATTATTTGTAATAGCTTAGTGAGAAATTATTTTTTTTGAACTTAAATTATTTATTTTTTAATTGTGCTGAACAAAAATTATATTTTTGAACTTAAATTAATTTTACTAAACTGAAATTAATTTTGCTGAACTGAAATTATTTTTACTGATTCTATGTTGTATTTCTTCTTTAAAGTTACTGATTTTCACTTAACTGAAATTATTTTTATTGAAATGATATTATTTTTGCTAAAGTGAACTTTTTTTTACTGAATTGGAATTACTTTCACTTGATACGAGTAATTTTTTTTTTAAGGTGAAGTGAACAAGGCCTTAGGACAAAGTGAAACTACATACCACAATATTGATAGGACTAGTATACTCCCTCTGATTTTTTTCTATTTGCATCAGTTTGATCGGCACAATTGCCGAGACGCATCTTTGACTATTAATATCTTTAATTGTATATTAGTAAAAATTGTAACAAAATTATATTATGAAACTAGACATTATGACTAATGTAATGATATATTATATAATAACATTTATTTATTTTATAGAGGTGAAAATATTAAATCAACTATGATAGGTGAATAGTGCAAAAATCAAAGTGATGCATTTAAAAAAAATGGAGGGAGTATTATACTTTAATTTTTTGGGGTGTAATATAGGAGCGATATTATTTTATAAACAATATATCCTGCTTGCTTATCATTTGAAGGGGTACAAGGGCTAAACCTGTCAATTCGAGTCAACGGATTGGGTTCGGATAAGATTTTGGGTTAAGTGGGTCATTTGGTTTGAGTGGCTTGAATCGTTTAAATAATTACTCCCTCCGTCCCAACATATAGTTCTTGTATGTGTTTCACGGTATTTATAAAATGGGAGGAGAAATTGGATGAAGTACAGTACATTAAAAGTGGAAAAAAGTTAGATGATAAGTGCATAATATACCATATTTTTGGTCCCTAGTATTAGTATTATTATTGCCTTTTGTTTATTATTTTAGGAATTTATTTACTTTTATAATTTTAGTTCTTAGTTTATGTTAGTATTTTATTTTATAGCTATTTTTTTTAATATTGATACTTAATATTTTGTCGTGTGTTTATGGTAGGATAAAATGGAAGACAAAACCTACTCAACAACTTGACACGCAATTAGGCCACATTTGCACTTTTTTAAGTAACTTAGAGACTAAATTGACAGGAAAACTCCCAGCTCAACCTTTTCCAAACCCAAAAGCAAACGCTGTGTTTAAACATAGTAGAATCTCTATTGATGAGTCTTTAGAAAGTGAGAATAGAAGTAGTTTGAGTCTTAAAGTGGTGCAAGGAAATAGAATCCCTTTATTAAGTGCTGTGAAAATGGTTCCTAAATATAAGTTATTATTAGATACTTTTCTCAATGAGACTAGTGAGGAATCTGAATTTTGTGCACCCTCTCCTAAATGCGATGATCCTGGTTTGTTTTCTATTCACTGCAAAATTGGAAAGGCTGGTCTTCATGAGTGTGTATTAGATTTAGGATCTTCAGTCAATATTTTACCGTCTTCTATGTATGATCAGATTGTATTAGGACCCTTGAAGAGCACAAATGAAATTATTTACATGGCTAACGGAAATAGTGTGTCGTTTAATGGTTGCTTGGAAAATGTTTTGACTCAAGTTAAACACCTGTTTTTCCTTGTCGATTTTTATGTTATTAATATGGAGAATATTTTTGAAATTTTGTTGGGAAGGCCATTTTTACAGATTGCAAAGGCATTAATTGATGTAGCTAATGGCAGTGTCACCTTAGGAAATAATGGTCAGACGATTAACATTAATGTTTTCGATGAACAAGGTTCACTTGAAGAAACGGGTGCTACTAACCATGTTTCTTATCATCTTGCACATATTGGAGTTGAAAATGTAGAGATGTTATTAGATGAGATGGTCAACAATGTAGGGCTTGAGCAATTGTTTTTTGATGCCCTAAATGAGCTGTGTTTTTAAGGAATATGAGGAAGTACGTCGAGCCAATGACGTAAACCAAAGGAGCTACTTGGGAGGCAACCTAAGGCTATTCTTGTTCTTTTCCTAGTTTATTTTTTTAATTGCTTTCAGTTTTGTTATATTGTATTGCTTTCCTTTTCTGTAATGTCAGTTAGTTTGTGTCACCTGTTTTTCTAAAAAAAAAAATAATAAATCAGAGCCACAAAAGTTACAAGAACAGATGATTTAAGAGTCTTTGATATATGCTAACTGTTCTGCCTGGTTTTCTTTTTGTGCTTGCTGCAACCAGTCAATTTTTAAGCCAATAGGCAGACTCCCAGCTAATAACCCAACTCAGCTAGTTCTGGTCATAAGGATTGAAGAAGATGAAAAACTTAGCAGTTAGTATTGAGCTCTTATTCAAAAATAAATGATGCACCTGTCGGGTATGAAGAGAAATCAATATTGATAAGCAGCAGGATCTCAAATATTCTGAACTTAACCAGCTAAGTACCTTTTCCTTTTTCTTCATTTCTTTTTCATTGAGGACAATGAAAAGTCTCCTCGTGAGATCGACCCTTGCTTACCCTTTTACTATTTGTTAATATTTTTGAAGGTTAAGTTAGGAAAATAAATATTTAATTTTATACGGTAAACGACACGTATCATTAGACAAAAGTACAAGACAAGTGAATAATTTAGGGGAAAAAAGTGAAAAACTACAATTATAGACAAAAGGTAGAGAGAGAAAGTGGAAACAAGTACAAGGCAAATGGATAATTTAAGGGTAAATTAGGAAGTTCAATGAATAAAGTTATAAAAAGTGAGGCTATAATGATCTTTACATACTATCCAAAAAATAGAAACAAGAACAACATTTTGGATCTCCAAAATAGTAAAATAGGAAGTATAATATGGACAAAGGGAGTACAAAATATGATAAATGAGTCAAATGGATCGATTTCAAAGCATTTGGATCGGGTCGGGTTGTATAAATTTAGAGTTTAGACATGGAAGAAGAGAATGCCAAATTTTGGTCCAATTTAATCTATGGACTATCATCTATAACAAACCAACCACTACTCACATTGGGCTACACATTACACAGTACAATTACATTGGGCTCAAATTCTGAATTTCAAAAGTCCAATACTTAAAAGGATAATGATGTAATTTCACTTAAGGAGAGAGAAAGAGAGATAAACCCTTACCCTATCGCCTACCTTCTTCTCATCGCCTCTTTATACAACTATAAAACTTACAGCATTTCTGCTGAACAATTACAAGTTTCTTCTTCTTTGTTCTATTTTCTGGAGAAACTTTTTCTTCTTCTTTTCTTTTTTTCTTGGGTGTTATTTGATTATTTAAGTAGTTTGTTTTATGGGATTTAATAGATTTATTTATTTGTATTATTGAAGAAAAATGGGGAAATTGTTTTGCGATGATGATAAATGCTTATAATCCCAGCTCATTACGAGATTTCCTTTGTGGAGATCAAGGAATTGAAATATTTCCAACATTTATCTGAGTTTATCATTTCTTCCTTCTCAACTTTTTTTTAATATTGGTTTTTGATCTTTACAACTTTGATTATTTTTTTTATTATAATAAATCCCAGTGATGTAATATTATACCATGCTAATTCTGATCAATTCATGATCGATTTTTTACTCTATGATTAGCTGAGGGTTCTTTCTATTTTTTTTAACCCAGAAAATAATCGATTTTATAGTGGAGTATAGAAAATCATCTTATTTTCTATTTTGGTTTTGATTTTAATTTTAATTTTAATTTATGCTGATTTATTGAATTTCTCATATAAATCGGTAAATTAACTTAATACCTGTATTTATTTACAGTTACAAAATTAATTTTGTTTACATTAATATTTAGAATTTGGACTGCAATTGATTTGAAAAAAGATTTGAAAAAAAAAGTAGTTCTTTTTTTTTTTTTTTTTGAAACGGAAGTAATTGTTGTTTTATTGAATTTGCTTGGATATTTCTGGGTATTTATAGTTTGTATTATATGGAGTTTGAATATAAATCTAGCGGCTATTTCACCAAATGTCATCAAGCAATTCAAAATTCATCAAATGCCTTCAACCTATTAAAAAAATTAACCAAGTGCCATTAATGATTGATAGCCGTTATTTGACCGTTAGTTAACTCAACCACTTACCACGTGTTACTTTCTGATAGGTTCGTTTTTTAAAAAAAAATTAAAAAAAAAAGAAAAAAAATCAAAAATATTTAAAAAAAAACGGCTATTTTATAAAATGCCACTTACTATTTAAAAAATTCACCAAATGTTGAAAGTTAGTATAATATCACCAAATGTCATTTCCGTTAGTTGACCGTCAGTATCCGTTAGTTGATCGTTATTTGACCTCACCATTTGCCACGTCACTTTTTGATTGATCTGTTTTTTAAAAAATAAATATTTAAACAAACATAAAAAAAACCAAAAATATTTAACAAATTTTTAAAAAATAATAATAATAATAAAAAAGAAAACACCCCACCCACCACCCCTCTACCACCCTCACCGGCAGGCCACCCACCCCACCCTAAGTCCCTCCTTGTCGTCGAAGACCGAAGCCCTTGACGCCGGCGACCTACACCGGCACGCGTGTCGGCGACCTTGCCCCTTCCTCATTCCCTCTACGTCATCTTTCCACCACCATTACAACCCGCGTTCAAGCTCGAAGGCAAGAACACAACATGCTCATTTCTTCACCATTTTCTACAAAATTACTATCAAAATGCTCACAATCAAGAATGTAATCACATGGGACAAACAATTTCATCAAACAAGCAACACACGAGAAAGCCCCAAATCGAATTTTCAAAGGGGGTTTTCGAATTTTTCACAAATTTGCATGAAATTCAACAATGAAGCAAGGGATTATACATGGAAATACTTACATTGCAATGAGAAGAAGAAATTACACACACCATGCAAAGAAAACAAGCGGAACTCGAGCCAAAAAACGAGCACCCATGAATCGAAAAGGGGTTTTGGGTTGTGTGGGTGGGTGGGTGGCCGGAAACGAAAAGGAGGGAGGGAGAAAGGGTGTTTTGGGTGGGGTGGCCGGAAATCGAAAAGGGAAAGGAAGGGGGTTGGGGTTTAGGGTGGTGGAGGAAGGGGGGTGGGGTTTCGCGGGTTAGGGGTTGGGCGAGGGTGGGTGGCGCGACGGGGAGAGGGCAGGGGAAGAGGTTGGGGTCCGTCGGCCGCCGGCGCGCATTCTGGTGTTGGCTTCGGCGGCAAGGGATGGATGGGCTAGTGGCTGGGATTTGGGTTTTTTTTATTATTTTTTTAAAAAAAATTTTGGTTTTTTTTTAAATTTTTGTTTAATTTTTTTTTAAAAAAACGGACCAATCAGAAGGTGACACGTGGTAAGTGGTGGGGTCAACTAACGAAAATGGCATTTGGTGATATTATACTAAACCTCATTGGCATTTGGTGAATTATGAAAAACGCGATGTCATTTGGTGAAATTTTTAAGTACTTTTTGGCATTTTATGAAAAAAAAAAAAAAAAAAAAAAAAAAAAAAAAATCCCAAACCCCAGCCACCAGCCCACCACCCCAGCCATCCCTTGCCGCCGAAGCCAGCATTGGAAGGCACGCCGGCAAACCCCCATCCCTTCCCCTCCCCTTTCCCCGTCGCGCCACCCACCTTCTCCGTTAGTTCACAAATTTATCAGATATGTTACAGATGCACTTCTACGAGACATGCCCCTATCTCAAATTCGCTCATTTCATGGCGAATCAGGCTATTTTGGAGGCTTTCAGTGGCAAAAAGAAGGTTCATGTTATTGATTTCTGTATGAAAGAAGGGATGCGATGGCCAACTTTGATGCAAGCATTAGCGCTTCGCCCTGAAGGCCCTCCAGCTTTTCGATTAACTGGGATTGGACCGCCAGCACCGGATAACTCGGACAGATTGCAAGAAGTTGGTAGGAAATTAGCTCAATTTGCCGACTCAATCCAAATCCAATTCGAATACCATGGGTTTGTGACTAATAGTTTGACCGATTTGGAATCAGCCTTGACAAAATTAGTTCTCAGTTGTGAACTAACGGAGAGGGAGAGGAAGGGGGGTGGGGTTTCGGGTGGTGGAGGAAGGGGGTGGGGTTTCGCGGGTTAGGGATTTGGGCTAGGGTGGGTGGCGTGACGGGAAAGGGGTGGGGGTTCGCCGACCGTCGGCGTGCCTTTCAGTGCTGGCTTCGGCAGCAAGGGATGGTTGGGCTGGTGGGGTGGTGGCTAGGGTTTGGAGTTTTTTTTATTATTATTTTTTTTTTAGTTTTTTTAAATATTTTTGGTTTTTTTTTATTTTTTTCATTTTTGTTTAATTTTTTTTAAAACGGAGCAATCAGAAAGTGACACGTGGCAAGTGGTGGGGTCTACTAACGGCCGTCAGTCAGTAATGGCACTCGGTGAATTTTTTTAAATCCCGGAGGCATTTGGTGAATTTTGAAAAGGTTGATGGCATTTGGTGAATTTTGAAATTGCTTAGTGGCATTTGGTAAAATAGTTGTTTTTTATAAGTGCCACAAAGAGAGCATTTAATTTCAGTTTGATTACGGTTTCAAAAAAAAAAAGCAGCTTATCTACAATTTGAAATTAAATTTAGGAAATTCTGAAAATAACCACCCAAAAAAGAGTCACTTTTAAATTTAACCACCTAAAAAAAAAAATTAAAATAACCACCCATTAAATTAAATTTTCACACAGATGACCACTCATTTTGAAAATCCGGTGGAAATTTAAGACATTGGGCCCACCCAACGGCTAATAACGGCTACTTTTCCCTTTGTAATTGAAATTGTCCACGATTTTTTCAGAGTAAACACTTCCCCAAAATTAAACCCACAAATCTCCTTCAATTTCTTCAAAATTTGCAGCGAAATCAAATCCCCTAGTTGCAGACGAATCCCCCATACATACAACAGTTGTAATCGCAGCAGGTATGGTTTCTGAATTTTTAAAATTAGGGTTCTTATTGCAATTAATTTGGGGAAAATTGGCGGAATTGTTAGTTAGGGTTTGTTTTTTTAGCACGAATTATTTGGTTTCAATTGTAGAATTAACCTTGTTTGTACAATTGGGGGAAATTAGGGTGATTAGGTAATTGGGGTTTTGTTGGATGCATGATTGTCATTGATTAGTTGTTATTGGAAATCTTGATGCAGTAATGGAGGAGAATAAGGTGTTATTCAGGTTTAAGTACTTGAGTGTTGTTATAGACATTGAATATGAAGTAGGCAAACATAATTTGTTGGACACAGCAATAGCAATTGAGGATCAAATTCGTGAAATGGAAGATCCAGTAGAAGGATCAATTGACCTCCCGCATCCCACATTTCAATATATATATAAAGGGAAGTATTGGACTTTAGAAGATGATGGTGATGTGTTCAAGATGATTAGGAGGTTACTCAATAAGGACATGTATACCATACATGTTGGGAGCACAGATGACCCTGGTTTCTTGGCTGACTGTATATTAGAGCACAGGATGAAGCAAAATGGGACATGGCCACCCCCTGGTTATCCTCATTACGGAGGTCAACCCCCACAATGAGTATGTGTGGTTGAGTATAAACTCTAAAACACATTGTGTAATGAAAGTGTTTGGTAAATGACACTTATTTTGGTATTTGCAGGTTGTAAAATGTCTTGGAATAGCTCATCTCCCCCAAACCAGAAGAAATGCAATTGTGGACTGCCTTTTGCAAAGCTAACATCTTGGACTAGGGAGAACCCAAGGAGGAAATTCAGGGCATGCAAATTCTATGACCCTGTTACTGAGACAAGGGGGTGCAAGTGTTTTGAATGGGTTGACACTGAAGATGGAACAGATTGGCAGAAAGAGGTGATTAACCAACTTCTTCTTGACAAAAGGCTGATCAAGGCTAAAGTGAACTCACTGAAGAGAGAGGTTGATGACTTGACTGGGCAGAGAAGATGTTTGTTGAATAAGTTGGACACTTTGAAACTGAAATGCAAGGCCCTAAGTGGTGACAGGAAGAAGATGATCAGCAACAATGCCAATCCTAACAGCAACCTCAAACTTGTTGTAGTTGTTATGTTTTCTGTTTTTTCAGTTTTAGGCTATGTTGTATTGAATAAACTGGTTTAATGGGGAGGTGCAAGCTGGGATGATTGTAATGCTATTCATATGTTATATTATGGAATGTAATGAACAAGCTATGAATGACTATGTTTTAATATGGAATGAAATGAAGAAGTTATTACTGTTATGTGCAAAGTGATTACTGTCAATGAACATGTTATTACTGTTAATGAACATGTCTGACAAAAAAATTTGTGTTCAACCCAACACATTACATCCATAAGCATTGTAGCATCCAAAAGCATATCACATATTCATTAACAAGTTCAAAAACATCCAACTAACTATCTCCCCCTTCTAACATACAAAATGGGAGGTGATTCATGTACTTCCTAAGTCTAAGTACATTATAATACTTCTTAGGTCTAATGACTTGTAGCTTGCTTCTTGGTGGCATTTGACTTGGGAGGGTGGTTGCAGCTGATGTGGATGATGTTGGAGGAGGTGCATAGCTTGTGGCAGCTGTTGTGGATGCAGCTTGGCTCTGCTGACTGTCATGTTGCTGTTGCTGCTTCCTCTGCTGCTCTTCTTGAGGGAACTTCTTGCTCCCTATGCTGTTAGGACCAGGTGTACCACCAACTGCACTATGTAAACCACATTACAGAGTTAGCAATTAAAGCTAGACTGCCAAAACCAAAAATACAAAAACCTAAAATCTAACTTATTACCTTTTTCAAAGTTATTTCTGCTCTCCTCTTTCTCTGATCTTTGACCCAGTCAGTGTCCAAATGGGGTATGCCACCTTCTTTTTCTGGGGAGGACACTGCAACAGGTGTCACATGAGGGTTTTTGCAGGTTTTAGCATAGTGGCCTAGTTGGCCACAATTCTTACAAGTGGCCTTCCTTTTGAGTGGTTGCTGCCCCTCTTGCTTCTGCTCCCCCCCCCCCCAATTTCTCCCTTTTCCAACTTCCCCTTCTTTGATTTAGGCCTACCAGACTGTATTTTGATGGCTGGTGGTAGAGGTTGCCTAAGCTGCACCTTTTGCCAATAGTGTGGACCAGGCATTGCTGCAATCTCCAGCTTATATGCCAACATATATGTTGACACAAGATAAGCACTATCAACATAATCTTCTAGATCAACCCTTTTGTCCATGATTCATGCATATGCATGGACACAAGGGATACCAGTTATATCCCAATGAAAGCAGGTGCATGTTGCCCGACTCAAGTCCATTGTGACTAGATCATAATTGAGTTCTACCTCATAAATGTCACCCCTAGACAGTTGCACAATGCAATGCCTTGCAGTTGTTTCTATCTTCTGAAAAAGCTTCTTCACATAAGGAACAACCTTCCCTTCCATTTTCTGATAAGCATCCCATTTGTCATTGTTTCTTTTCATGGCATACCTCCTAAGCCACTCCATTTGAGTCAAAATAGGCTTGTCCCTAGCTTCTTTAATTACAGCATTGAAAGTTTCACAAATGTTGTTGAGCAACATGTTTGACTTAGGATGTGTGCTAAAGGCATGTCTAGACTAATGTTTGGCTGGAATGTCAGAAAGGTATTCAAATGCTTCTTCAGACAAGAACCTAATTGACTCCATTGCAACCTCAAAGGCAAACTACAAATGCAAGACAAACCATACACACATTTACACACAAAAATCAGAATGCCAACCAGTCACAAACAAATATGAAATACAATTATATCTTGGTATTTATGCATACCAGTGTTGTAGCCCTTGCTGCAGACCAGAAGAGTTCCTTGAAAGTTGAGCCACTAAATTGCAACTTGAAGTTTGCCCAAATATGTCTGACACAAAACCTAGTGTCTGCATAAGGAACCACTTGGTGCAAAGCTTCTACCGATCCCTGTTCACACAACATACATCAAATAAGGCAATTGCCATGAAAAATAAACAAAGCATTCATATTAGATTTGTATTTATGTTTACCTTTTGCCTATCAGATATAAAGGTATAGCCCAGGCCTCGATCTTCATCTCTCAATGCTTTCATCAAGCTCTCAAGAAACCACACCCAAGTTTCTGTGTTTTCAATTTCAGTTGTTGCCCAAGCAATAGGGTAAATATTGTTATCGCCATCCTTACTAACTGCAACCAAAATCTGACCAGGATAGGGACCTTTCAGATGGTAGCCATCAACCCCAATAAGTGGTCTACAACCAGACATGAATCCTTTCCTAAGTGGTGCAAGGCATATGAACATTCTCAATAACAGAGGTGGTTCAATCTGCTCCAATCCATCAACTACCACATTGCACTCAGTACCAGGGATGTACTGCATGAGAGCCTTCCCATAGTCCCACACTCTTGCATATTGTTCTGCTGCAAAACCATATATCATAAGCTTAGCTCTTGCTCTTGCCATCCAAGCTTTACAATATTTAATTTCAATACCTAAATCACCTAACACTCTCCTCTTGAAACTTTTAAGCTTCCACCTAGGGTCACTTCTCCACTCCTCAATGTACTTCTCAGCTAAAAATTCAACAGATAAATTCAGATTGCTTCTAACCCTTACACACTTGTGCTTCAAATGCAGACTCTTAATCTGCCAAAAATCCTGGTTCACAAACCTCCTAGCCACAACCTTAAAATGGCATTTACTCCCCCCAACACATGTGCACATAGGCAGCCTAGTTCTTTTTTTATTCCATTTGCATTTACATCTTCTTCTACACTGTGTTGTTATTTTGCTGCTGTCATTGTGCAAATACCAGTATTCATACCTGTTCTCAATGGCATGCTGCTTCAAAGCTTTCATGAGCACTTTGTTATTAAGAAACTTCTGTCCTTTCACAAATTGAATGGCCTTCTTGAAGTCTGTTGATGCATGAAACTATGGACAATCATCCTGCTCATCATCAAACCCTTTAGGGCTATCCAACTCCTCACTGTCAGAAGTAAACTCTCCCTTCACAACAACTTCTTTGCTCAACAGTTCACTTTCAAGCAGATCATCATTGTTCTGCACTTCATATTCAACCCTTTGTTGCTCAGTTTGGAGACTTTCATTCACAACATCAATGATGTTGTTAATTGTGCTGTTAAGACCATCTCCAATATCAGTCTCCTCATCTTCCCCCTCTTCTTCCCCTGCTTCCCACTCTATGTTAGTATCAGGGCAGTCAGAGCTTGAAGAACCAGATCCAGTTTCTGAATCAAACAGCTCACTGTCAACCTCTCTCTTTTTTTTCCCTTTGCTTTTCCCCTGTGTTTTACCCTTTCCCAGTACCTTTCCAAAATTGCTTTCTTGTTGTTTTTTCACTTTGCTTTCCAACCCTAGCCCCCTTTTTTTTGGTTTTGTTTCCCATCCTTCTCTTTATTTCCCAATTGCTGCTTAAACCTTGGGCTTCTCCTAAGTTCACTGGGCTTCACTGCTTTGCTTTGACTGTCTTGGGTAGTACAGTATACTACAACAAACCCATCCTTGGTCTTTGTCTCCAAAAACCCCCTCACATCATCATCAGTAACTATTTCTTGTTTACCAGTTGACCAACTCTTCCCCTTTTTTTTATACCAAATGTTCCACATGCTAGGCACATGCAAATCTAACTTTACAAAGCCCTAAATGCAAGATTCCCTTAACAAGTGGACTGACATCTCACTCAGTTTGCACTTGTACCTCCAATATTCACAGCCACCATCATACCCACACAAAGTCTTTCCCTTTATTTTTTATTCACAAACCCACCCCCTAATCTAACCTTAACATCCACAAATTCGTTTTCAACAGCAATCTGTACATATCATAAGCCACTATCAATACATGTACACAACACCAAATGTCTCACTAATCCCCATATCAGAAGTAAACATACATAATGCAATGTGTTCAACATAGCAGCAGTAAACTAATCCCACAACTAGTTGTCCTCAAAACATCATTAAACAATTCAACTACCACTAAACAAACCAGCATTAAAAAAAGCAATGTATTGGGCATACTGTAAGAAAACATATCCCTGTATCACTGTCCTACCAACATACATAAAGTATTCAACAATAATTGACCTACTTTAATTAATTCAATGAACTACATAATGAACCCTAACTTTGCACATATTTGCAATTATACCATCAACAACCAACAACTTTCACAATTAAAGACAAGGAACATAATACATTACCTCTGACGTCGCCATTGTACACTGCAATTGTCAGGTTCCTGCCCCACGCTACTGGTCTCCAGCAAACACCCAAACAGATGGCGCGCAATCACCCACGAGCAAGTCCTTTGTTTCAGAGAGAAATTTAGGGTTTCCACCACTAATTAGGGTTTTAAATTCCCCAATTTTTGATAAATTATGGATATTCAGAAAGCGCAAAATAGATTAAACAAATTTTTTTGAGATTTTTTTGAGATTTTTCTGAGATTCAACCAAGAAGCAACTAACAATAACTTCTGGAAGTTCAACTGTGAGGGAAGTCGAAATAGAACGAAAAAAAAAATGAGGGAAATAAGTTATGGTGGGCCCAATGTCTTAAATTTCCACCGGATTTTCAAAATGGGTGGTCATCTGTGTGAAAATTTAATCTAATGGGTGGTTATTTTAATTTTTTTTTTTGGTGGTTAAATTTAAAAGTGACTATTTTTTGGGTGGTTGTTTTCAAAATTTCCTTAAATTTAAATTTGTAAACTTTGAAATTAGTTTATCAAGGTGATAAAATGTTTATCTAGTGGCCTTTCTGTCAAAATTAAAAAAAAAAAATCAATATCTTTTTTTTTGAATGGAAAAAAATCAATAACTTTGCTAAATGCAAGTCCCACAAATGTTGATTATTTACGAAAATGTAATGCCGACGAAAAAAATCAATCAGGATATTTTGTTGATTTATTTATAGAAATACCCCTAGATAAATACTTCTTGTCTATCACGAAGATTAACTAAAGTCCTCTCAATTTCAGAGAAAATAGAAGTTGATCTTCATAATAAACAAAAAAAAAAAAATGTGTATCCAGTGGCATTACTGTAAAAAAAAAAATCAATAACTTTTATTAAATGCGGGTCCCACAAATATTGATTATTTACGAAAATGTAATGACAACTATAATATTTTATTGATTTATTTAGAGAAATGTCATTAAATAAACGCTTCTTGTTTATCACGAAGATGAACAAGGCCCTTCTTTCAAAAAAAAAAAAAGAAAAAGAAAAAAAAAAAGAAAGATCAACTAGGTCCTCTCTAAGGCCCTTTTTGGTTGAAGGAATTTGGAAGGAAAAGAAAAGAAAGGCAGAATTTTAATCATGTTATTATGTTTGGTTGAATTAATAACACGAGATTCAAAGGAAAGGAAGGGAAGTGGGAGGAAAGTTCATTTACAAATTTTTAACTTTCCTTTCCTCCCAAAATTGAAGGAATTCGACTGGAAAGAGAAAAATAAAAGTTATCCTTATAAAATTTCTTTTTCTTTCCTTCATTTTCTTTCATCAATAACTTTATACTAAAGGCGAAACCAGATATGACACTTGTCATTTTCTGATTAAAAAATTTTCCGCCTTTGTTTCTATCTTTTTTTTTTTTACCAAATTTTAATGATATCCATTTTATAACTTACAATAATACTTATTTCCATTTTGACAATGTATTAAATCCAATTATACTTAATTAATTTTTTATTTTTTTTTACATATATTCTATTGTATTATTTGTCTATTCTAGGAACCTTTTAGTTACAAAAATACTAACATAAATTAAAAATAAGGTATTTTAATGTATTGTAATATCAACCAATCAATAACTTAATACTAAAGGCAAAAACAGAAATGACACTTGTCATTTTCTGGTTAAAAATTTTCCCGCCTTTGTTTTCTTCCTCTTTTTTTTTTTTTTTGCCAAATTTTAATGACATCCATTTTATAACCTACAATAATACTTATATCCATTTTGACAACGTATTTAATCCAATTATACTCAATTAATTTTCTTTTACATATATTCTATTGTATATACTAGGAAACTTTTAGTTACAAAAATAGTAACATAGATTAAAAATAAGGTATTGTAATGTATTGTAATATATTACTCCCTCCGCCACATTATTTCTCAAAAAACACGATGATTAAGGAAAATGGTAGAAGTAGGGAAATATTCTATTGGAAAGAGAAAAAGTAGAGAATATTGTATGGGAATAATAAAAAGTAGAGAATACTGTATGAAAAAGATAAAATGTAAGTAATGATTTTTTTGGTATATGTGTATTTTGTATGGGAAAGATAAAAAGTAAGTAATACTTATGTGCTATTTTTAGAAACAGACACAATATTTCGGAACACCCAAAAAGGAATACAGGTACGAAATAATGGGACGGAGGGAGTATTATCCAAGATTATTCTAATATTATCAAAAAAATTTCTCCAATTTTTATCATTTGACAATAAATTTATTTTAATTAAGAAAGAAAAAACATTTTGGTTGCATACTTTGTGTAAATCTTAGAATTATATTTAACTTTTATATGAACAATCGAACAAAATCATATTATATTGGAAAATTCAATATAATTACTATAATCATTTATGTGATTAATATATATATATATATTGGATCATGTGAAAACCAATCTTAAGTTAAAAACTAAAAACACAAAATCTTGACCGTAGATTCAAACTCATGTTATCCGAGGGATTTTTTCCCCAGAAATTCTTGCGTGGACCTGGTCCACAATAATATTATTGTAGACCTGAGATTTATATAAACGCAGAACTAACGTTATTTGGAACATAGTGACCGTAATTTTAACATAGTATCCTTATTTTTCAACATAATAACCTTTATTAAAACTTGTGTGACCTTGAATGTTATTTTCGTTTACATTTCAAAAAATTAACCTCTTATAGCTTTTATAATGTCACAATCGCTTTTATTTCAACATATAATCTTTATTTTAATGTACTGACTTTTTTTTTATTAATAAAATAATCATAATATCTCTAATGTTAGTGGTTCACAAAATTTATGTGAACCAGGTCAATTTAAGAATTACTACGTATTATTTTTTCCCAGCCTTTTGGTTTCACTCTCCTGCATTTTCATGCATAACATTCTCTCTCCTCTCTTTTCTCTCTCCTGATTTCTACATTCTTCCTCAAACTTCATACTACTTCTCCAAAGCATAGTTGTAATTGATTCGATTCTTCATCAAATTGGTTCCTATTATTGACTACGATCTATCAAGTAAGGAAATCGTTTATAATTTTGCTTTATTTTAGCTTTTAATCAATGGTTTTTTTTTTTTTTTTTTTTTTTTTGAGTTTTTCGTTTCTGATTTTTGTTTTTTTTTCTGATTTTTTTTTATTGTTTTTTGAGTTATTATTTTGCGTTTTTCATGGTTTCTTCATATCGTTGTTTTTTGAGTAATTTCTTGAGTTTTTCGTTTCCGATTTGTGTAATTTTTTGAGTACTTTGCTTCTGTTTTTTTATTAATTTTGTAATTTTTGGCAAATTTTGTAAGTTTCATAGGAGTAATTTAACTTTATTTGAGGTATTTCATTCTTAATCGAGTTTCATATGAGTTTAATTATGTTATAATTCAACTTAATTTCTTCGTTTGGCATTCTGAGCTCATCAATTTCATCATCAAATTTTTCTACGTTAATCGATCTTTTCATTGTATATTGATCAATTTCTTAAACTTTTTACCGCTGAATTTTTTATTTTCAATTTGTGTTTGATTTTTCGGTTTAATTTTTTGAATTTGATTTCGATTTTTTCGGCTTTATTTTTTTCAATTGTGTTCGATTTTTTCATTTTAAGTTTATC